CCGAGCCCGGAGAGGCGGCCGCGCCTAAGGTGCGAGCCGGGCCGGCGCCCGGGCACCGAGGGGCGGCGGCCGAGGAGGACGCCAGGAAGGACTTCTCGGCCACGGCGCTGTCCCTGGCCGGCCCGGAGGAGCCGACACAAGAGCTCCGGGGAGGCGAGGGCGGGCGGGCGGGGAAGCCGCAGGAGAAGCGCCAGAAAGAGCTGACATTTCTGAGCGATGAGCTCGAGGAGGAGGACGAGTGGACCGAGGAGGTGCAGAAGGAGCAGGAGCGGCAGCTGCGCGCCGAGCTGCTGGCGCAGTACCGCCCCCTGCTGGTGGAGCGCAGCCAGTACCAGCGCTACAGCCTCTACCTGCAGCACAAGATCTTCGAGGCTCTGCGCAGGAAGAAGGGCCAGGAGGCCGGCGACGCGCCCGACAGGGACGCGGAGCCCGAGTCCCCCCAGAAAGAGAACAGCTACCTGCACTACCTGGCCGTGCTGGAGGAGCTGAAGAAGCAGGAGGCGGACGACCTGGACTGGTATCACCAGGAGCTGGACCAGCTGAAGCAGCAGTGCGAGGAGAAGCTGACCAGGGTGGACAAGGCCTGGCAGAAGTTCCAGGCCCTCAAGAAGCAGGTGATGATGCAGGTCATGGGCAGCTACCGCATGCGGGGCGGTCGCCAGGCGGCGCTGCGGGAGGTGGAGCAGGTGCAGCAGCTGGAGGACAAGAAGGAGGAGGAGATGCGGGCCGTGCGGCTGGAGAACATGCAGCTGAAGCAGAGCCTGGTGCACTTCGAGACCAGGATGCGCGCCCAGGAGGACATGGCCGAGGGGCTGCTGCTCATTGACTTCGAGCAGCTCAAGATCGAAAACCAGACCTTCAACGAGAAGGTGGAGGAGCGGAACGAGGAGCTGCTCAAGCTGCGCAACAAGGTGAGCAGCAACGTGCAGGTCGTCACCCACGTCAAGGAGAAGCTGCACCACGTGGAGCTGCACAACACCGGCTTGAGGGCGCGGCTGCTGGAGGCCGAGGCCCAGGTGGCCCTGAGGAGGGACATCCTGACCAGGACCAAGCAGGCCCGCGACGCCCTTCGGACGGACAGTGTCGCGCTGAACCGTAAGTGTGGGCTGCTGGGCAAGGAGCAGCTGCTGCGGGACCTGGAGGAGAAGGCGGACCAGACGGAGGCGCTCCGGCAGCGCCTGGAGTTCCTGAAGCGCCACCACGCGGGCCTGACCCTGTCCTGCAGGGGCGTGAGGCAGAAGATCCGGGAGGCCAAGGCCTTCCTCCGGTCCTGAGCGGCCCCGGGCTCCGGTGGTCTCCTGGCGCCTCAGCCGCCACGGGCGCGGGGTCCTGGGCGAAGCAAACGGCTAGCGACCGGGCGCCGCGGCGCGGGGAAGCTGTCGGCGCCGCCTCCGAGCACCCGTCCTCCCCGCGTGTGCGGCCCCCCCGGCCCCCCGTATCTAAGCTCCCCTGGAAGGTGCTCCGGGGTGGTCCTGAGTCGCCCGCCGACTGGGAAGTGCGCCCTTCGCCCACCAAGCCACAGCTGCTTTGCCCGACTGCCACCAGTTTACCACGAGTAGCAATACGGTGCCCAGGGAGCAGGATAAGTGATAAACGCGAGCCCACGCCGGCGATAAGCCGCAGCCCTGGCGCTTGTCCCCGCCCGCGGCGGTCCTCGACCGGCCAGCCGGCAGACAATGCATCGTGCGGTACCAATAAATGGATTTTTTCCTGGCAAACACAGCGGCTGCACGGGGTGTTTGCCAGGGCTAAATGAAGGCGTGCAGGTGCTGCGGCCGCCCTCGCCCGGGCCGGCCAGGGCTGAGCAGCCGTGGCAGCGGGAGTGCGGCGTCCTGCCCCGAAGCCCAGGTGGCACGGGTGCCCCTGGTGCGCGCCGCCCCTCCGCGGTCCGCTTTTCCGGATGCGCCTGGAGCTGCGCTCGTGGCCCCGGGGCTGAGTTCTGAGATGCGCACATCTGGGACCAGAGCGTCACCCGGCTTGCGAGAAGGGCGACCGACTGCGGCGCTAGGTGCCTCTCTGGGAAGCCCGCCGGAGGCCCCCCGGGGCAGCTGACGGGTCGCTGTCTCCAGGGCTGGTAAAAGCCCGCCTCCGGCTTGCACAGCGAGCCACTGCCATGACCAGCCGCCTCGGGAGGCTCGGCTTCGGCGGCGTCCTCTACCCCCGCCCCCGCGGGGTGGCAAGTCACCCGGAAACAGCGCGCGTGTCCCTGGGCCTCGGGTGGACAGCAGCGCAGCGCTTTCATGCCGGGGGTGCCCCCGGCTCACCGGCTGGCAAGCGGGTGTGGGCCGACCCTGCCGGTTGGCGAGCACGGCGCCCAGCTCGCAGCGCACACCCGTGGGTCTCTGGGCACACGTGGATGCCCAGGAGACCGGCGAGGCTGGCACTGTCTTCAGCTGCGAGGCGTTAAAGCTGTGGCCTCTGGCTGGCAGCGTGGGGTGCTCAGTAGATAATCCCCGGCGGGTCACCTCTGCAGGACCTCGCAACAATTAGAGGTGGGCTCGCTGGCTCGCTCAGAGGGAGACGCTGCAGGGCGTCTCTCCCCCAGCCCGGCGCCCCGCGGGGGCCTGCCTGTGCCCCAGAGGCAGCCCCCGCGAGGCAAGGGCCGTTATCGCCCTCTGCACCGGCCAGCACTGGGCCCGGCACGACGCCTGCTCGGGGTGGCAGAAGGGCTCCCGGGGTGTGAGTCCCGCGTCGGGCTCCGAATGATGCGTCAGAAAGGGGATCCCTTAGGCCGCAGAACGTCTGGGGAATGACGGGTGGGGTGCAGGCCCCTGCCAGGGGGGCGGGGGCGCCGCCGGAGGGCCCCCCACTCGGGACAGCACCGAGGGGCTTTCTCGAACGCTGGCGCCTGGACCAGACCTGGGAGGCCACAGGCGGCCTCTCCGCCGCCTAAAAGCACGAGCGCGAGAGACTTGGAGGAGGGCGGTTTGGACGTCAGCACTGGCCCGAGGGCAGGACCCTCGCGCGCGCGGTCTCTGGGGAGCAGGGCGGCGCCGCCCCGCACGTTTCATTCGGAGAGGAGACCGCGCTCGAGTGTCAGGCGGACAGGCGCGCCGTGTCCCGAGTTGTCTTCGGCCACGGGCTACGCCTGGCCTCTGGTGGGGGCTGCCCGTCCACAACTAGCACCGCGACGTGTCAGGGGGCGCGCGAGGCCCCACCGGGCTGCCCGCCACGCTGCACCCCTTCAGCTGGGCGCAGGCGAGGGATCCTCAACGCCCTCCGCAGAGGCGCCCCCACGCGGCGCCGGCCGGCAGAGCCGCGGCCTGTCCCTCCGTGGACAGCCCCTGCCGGGGGCAGCTTCCGGCCTCACCGGGCCCTGGCTGAGCGCGCAGAACTCGAGTCCAGGCGATGAGATGGACGAGGCCTTGGCGCTCACCCGAGAGGCCTGCGGCCAGCAGGCGGCCGGGGGACGCAGGGCGAGCACGCTGCCTGGGGCCCCCCGGCGGCCGGAACCCACTCGTAGAACGGGAACCCCTTCGTTTATTGGGGGGCAGGCCAGGATGTGAAGCCAGCAGCTCTTCTCCGAAACGATGAGCCGTTTTATGCGCGTTTCCGTATTCCCACACTTTACTATGTAAAACGCCTGTTTAACCCTGGCAATTTGAGCGCCCAAACCCACGGCGGGCACGGTGCCGGCCGACACGCCCTGCACCGCGGCGCTGTGGCTCCGGGGCTGTTGGGGGCGGCGGCCCGGCCAGCAGCTGAGGTGGTTCTGTCTAAACCCCACGTCAGCGCCGGAGCTGGCTCCCTTCTCACCCGGGCGAGAGTTCCCGGGGCACCAAAGCCCAGCCTGTCCTCTGCCTGCCACAGGCCAGCTGGCTCCTGACCGTGTGCCGCGGTTTCTCGTGGGGAAAGGTGACGGTTGGCACAGCCCTGCCCCGCGCCCCCGGAGGGCCCGCCCCAGG